GGCAAGGAGAGCTTCATCAAGAATAGATTGAAGTTTGGGATGCACAAAGTCACCTGATTTCACAACAAGTTGTCATGAAACCTCTCTTTTGACTATGCTAGGGAGGGCTGGTATCTATACTTGTTGTATTGTTTAAAGTTTGTGAACTCTTATCTCGTACCATACTGCAGGTACACACTCATGGCATGTTGGCTAAAGGGAAGATCTAACCATAACAGGTAGTCGTGTCTATAGAGAGGGACCTGGTCCCCAGAAGGTTAGTATCACATTTTGTTACACAATTTTCTGTCAACGGTCACTGCCACATGTCATCTTCCCATTCACTGTGTCAGTTGCAAACGTCTTTTTGCTTTAAAAACCAAGTGTCACTACTCTTCAGGGACCTGATACCTTGTTAAATATAACCCTCTTGAGAGAATTCAAACATCACAAATTCTTCCAACTCTCCTTCGAAATTCTGTCATTGTTTATCTAACCGTCCTCTCCTTATTTCTTGAGAAAATGTCTAAATATTTTTCTGCTTCTCAACTCCCCCACTCCCAAGAAATTGAAAATCCCAGCTCCTTCCTTTGAAGGATCTCCGTCTACGCTAGTATGTGGGGTTGGTGAGACTAATGAATATCTCACACCTCATACTGAAGTGTTGGCATCTCCAGCACTCAATCGTGGGGAAATTTTGCCTTGCTCTCCAACTCTAGTTCTTTCAGACAAAGAATCTAAAAATTCTGAAGCCTAGTCGGTTGTAAAGGCAACTCTTGAGACTCCAACTAAAGATCTAGCAATTGTGTCTCAACCAAGGCCTGTGTCATCTGCCATATCTGAAAGACTGTTTGAAGGAGATTTTCCTGAGGGCAAGGGGATAGAGTCCAACATTCTAGCAGCAATAGAGGAATTGGTGGTTGTACAAAGTTTGGCCTCTCTCAGAGGGGATATTCAGCCAACTTTTTTGGAACAAGTGTCCAGATCGCCGGAATGGGTCCCTCACAGTACTCAGCCAGTGTTCGACCAAACCCCTAAATCCTTTGATGTTGACAGTGAGGAGGAGGAGGAAGAAGAAACCCCTCTAGTCTGGCATAGAAAAGGGGTTCGAGGTGCTAATGTTTTGAATACATCTGTCTCAGATCTAGAAGCAGTTGATGTCGTGCCTGAGACTAAACTTGAAGATGAGCCTACTGAGTCTGAAAGGAAAAGAAAAAGAAAGGGAAAAGGAAAAATGGTAGAGTCTCACACCAAAGGAGACAAAAGAAGATATGCAACTAGAGGAGAGGTCCAAAAATTAATGGGAGACGCTTTGGTGGCAAATGAAGTCCAAACAGAGAGAAATCTGAGACGAAAAAGGGATAGTCATGTACTTGTTGAGGAACCTACCTCAATGCCTCAACATATAGGGTCGAGTGAAACAGATTCTGATGATATGGTTAGAGTAGTGGCCAAAAGGAAGAAGGAGGCAGAAGATGAACGGGTCAAAGCTAAAAGGGCTCCTAAGTCTGTGAAGAAGTCACCTGTGAAAAGGAACAAGGTGGTTAAAAAGGCCCCTTCTAAACCAAAATCTGGTAAGGGATCAGGAATGACCATTCAGAAGCAAGTTGAGGACAAGGTGTTGACAAGAGAAGAGTGTATTGCTGAACTCGAAAAACAAAAGGTGTTAAATGGGAGAGTGTTTGATCCAAAAATTCTCACAGAATATGGTATGTCTACTCTTTTTTATTATGTTTCATTGCAAAGTTAGGAACACCTATTTGAGGCTCTAACACCCTATTTGCATGAGCCAGAGGTGAGGGAATTCTACTACAAGATGGAGCTTCTCAATGATGGCGGCATCCGTGCAACAGTTAGGGGAGTAAAGATCTCTCTGAATGAAGAAAGCTTGTGAATCATCTTGGGTGTTCCCGCAAGAGGGATCCGGTCCATTGAAGGTTGCAAACCTTCAAGTGATTTTGTTCAAAGGGCTACTAAGCGTGGGGACATTAAACGTGTGGGTCTACCGAAGAAATTCCTAAGGGAGAGTATCAGTGGTTGTTTGAGTTCAACAATAAGGTCTTGGTGCCTAGGAGTAAGAAGAGAATTGTAGCTTCTGCCACAGATCTATTCCTCATGGAACAGTTGGATGAACTGAAGGCTATGAAATTTCCAGGAATCATGCTTGAACACATACACATGGTGCTGACTTGGAAAATTGCCAGACATGGCATACCTTATGGGTACCTACTGAATTATGTGTTTGAACACTTTGGTGTAGCTCTTGGCAGAGGAGTACCTAGAACAGTAAAGTAGATGTTTTCTCCAGCCACCCTTTTGGAGTGTGAATGTACTGAGGGAAAGGTAAAGGGTAAGTCTCATGTCTTTGATCTTCTTGAGCAGCAAGAATCTCTCAAGCGGAAGCTAAATGATCTTACAGTAACCTTGAATGTGAAGAAGGTTGAGATTGTGCGACTTAAGGCTCAGATGCATTAGACTATTTCTAACGGACCTAGTACTAGTTATGAGGATAGGGAGGAAGTACAAAAGATGAGAGCTGAGACTGCCCAGTTGCGAAAGAAAAATTCCTTACTTAGTGAGAAATTCTAGACTCTTAACAAGCAAATCATTCAGGCTCATGTAGAAGCTAATGAACGCATGACTCTGTTAGAGAAATCATTCTCTCCCCATCTCCCTTCGTCCTAAATGAGTCTCTCGTCCTTGCTCTCAAGTCTTTCCGTGTCCTATCTAGTTTCCCTGCTTTTACTCTAGTGTAAAAGTGTAGTGTTTTGGCTGAACCTTGTGGTCAACATAAGTGATCTAATGATATAATCTCTTTTGCCCTATTTGCTATGTTTTATCTTCCTTATTTTATGCTTACTTGCGCATGTACTGAGTGGACCATGGCGTTGAGTTCCTAACGTTTTGCATGCAACTAGTATATGTTTAGTGTCTCTCCTTTTCAATGATGTCAAAAGGGGGAATTGATTTTGATTGTAAACTTGATGTGTGAAATTAGAGCAACATGACAAGGGGAACATTGCAACATGACAGGGGGAACTAATATTTTGAATGAATGTTAACTCAAGTGAGAGTAGTTCGTTTGTCATCATCAAAAAGGGGGAAAATGATAAGTCTTACTACTCCTAGATGTTTTGATGATCCTCACAAATGCAGGGACTCGGTCCTCTACAAAGTGTTCTCATCCAGGTCAATGTGCCATACAGCTGGGAAGCTGTCTCGTCAGAGGTTGGTGAGGCACCAGCACACTGAACCGATCAGAATGGACGAGGTGGTTTGCCGATCGGTTAATAACTCTTTATGGTTGATATATTCAACATGACAAATAACATATCAATCATTTATTCAAAGAGAGAAAATTCAAGCTTCAACAAAACAACAAGGGACCTTATAGACTGACAATTTGCTTCCTGAACCTGTTGTTATTTTGATTGCTTGTATTTGTGCTTAACTAGTAGGATTCGTTTCACTTTAATAGAAACGTTTCAAAACTTGTGTGTATCATTGTAAGCACATAGTTGAGGGAAACAATGTGTCTTACGAAAAGTCTATATTAATCAGTTAGGATTAGTATAGTGGAAAATGCAGACATTGATTTGGCTCAGTTAAGTAATAGGTGGTATTACTTAGTGTGAGATTAGGTGGTTAATCTCAATGTGTGGTTGTAAATTTTGTTTCGCTTTTGCTTGTGAAGATTAGTGAAAACAGGTTGAAAATCTTGTCAGACAGGTCGTGGTTTAACTCCCTTAAGCAAGGAGGTTTCCACATAAAAGTGTTGTGTCTTTTAATTACTTTCTATACTTACTTTCGTGCATTAATACTGTGTAAAAGACATGGTCCCATCGTAGTTAGTGGACGCATACATTCTAACAAATTATTACATCGCCAATCAGTGGCAGAGCCACCTTATAGTTAGGGGGATCACGTTCATCTAAACCCCCTTTGGCGGAAACTTATATTATTTATACATGATTAAAATAATTTTTTAGGTATATATAGTAAATGTCGAACCTACTTTGGCTACTTTGTGTGTCTATTTCTTCATATTTTAAATCCCCTTTATTGAAAATTGTGGCTCCACCACTATCGCCAATTATAACTATTAAGTTCCCTCATTGTTCAAAACAAACTCCCCCCTCACACCACATGCAAATATTCTATCAAGTGGTATAGGCATAGTAAAGCTACTCACTATCTCAAATAAAATTCATAACATATCATCCTTACATAAGCTTTCCATTAGGATATAAGTTAATCAATTAAAGCATAAAACTATAGGATCAAAAGCACTTTCTCGGATTATTATGTCACCCCAGAAACCTGCAAAAATTATTTAGCTATAATCATTCTTTTACACTTTAAGATAATCACTTTAAAGATTGTAGCTCATTTCCTTATTTCACATTTTCTTTCTACCAATGTTTTACTTTTTTTCTCAATATTTGTTGGATGAATACGCAAAAATAAATGAAAGAGTTTGAGAGACAAAAGGTTTCTTTTTATTGCTAAACTTTCTTGCTAAAAAATAAAACTCCTATTTCCCTTTTATAAGTTTACAATTAACTACTAAAGCAAAAATAAAGCAACACACAAATAATGAAAAACATGGAAAAAGTGGTAAACATGATGCACTATAATAGGAAGATATTTTCATTGACTAAGTAAAACATAAACCCACTAATCCTACAAAATAGACCCACAAACTAATTTTCTGCAAACTAAATATTTTGAAGAATTAGTGAACACTCCCCTTTCTTCAAAATCACAAACTCCCATTTGTCTTCTGAAGAAGTCATGCTTGTTGCGGAGCAGCGACTTCATAAGAACATTCGCAGTATGATTATTTGTTCCACAAAATTCCAGGGAGATTATTCCACCAACAACTAGATTGTGAATAAAGTGATAGTGAGTGTCGATGTTCTTTGTGCTACTGTGAAAACGGTATTTTTTTCTCATAGAAATTCTTGCCTTGTTATCACACCATATTTCCATTGGAACAATCTGCTCTTGTTGACGATCTGCTAACACAGTTTGCTTAACCAAATAGCTTGACTACATGCTAAAGTTGCAGCCATGTATTCTGCTTCTGAAGATGACAAAGCTATTGTATCTTGTTTCTTTGAACTCCATAAGACTGCTTCATATCCAAGATTAAAAACGTTCCCAGTTGTGCTCTTGCGATCATCCAAGCTACTTACCCAACCATTATTAGTAAAGCCAATCAATCCAAAACCTGATACTTTTGAGTATCAAATTTCGTGACTTGTTGTGCCGGCAACATATCACAAGATTCTCTTAGCGGCACCTAGGTGTTTCTTTGAAGGACTACTCATAAACCTTGAAATCAAACTAACAGAGAATACTATATCGGGCCTTGTGTGCGATAAGTAGTTTAGACCACCAACCAAGCTTCTATAATAAGAAGCATTTGTTGCACCTGTACCATCATCGAGTTTCAACTTCCCATTCATATTTATGGGTGTGGGCGATGGATTACAATTCAGCAGGTTGAACCTCTTTAAAAGTTTAGTAGCATATTTCCTTTGTGAAATAAAAATTCCATCCGAACCTTGTCTCACCTCAAGCCCAAGAAAATAATGCAACATACCCAAGTCGGACATCTCAAAGTTACTCATCATGCAACTCTTACATTAAAAAACAACAGATTCACAAGAGCCCATATATATGATATCATCGACATAAAGACAAACAACCAGAAAATCACTATTACCCTGCTTCTTCACATAAAGTGTAGGTTCATTATCACTTTTTCTGAACTACTGCTCTTGAAAAAAAGAGTCAATTTCGCTATACCATGCCTGTGGTGCTTGATTTAAATCATACAACGCCTTTTTAAATTTGTATACTTTTCTCTTCCCTTCATTAGAAATGAAGCCTTCAGGTTGTCAAACATAAACTTCTCTTGTAAGTTGCCATTTAGGAAAGCAGACTCAACATAAATTGGTAAACATGCCAACCAAGTTGAGAAGCCAAGGCTAGAGTAGTTCTAACCGTTTTGAAGTGAGCTAGTAGTGAAAACGTCTCATTAAAGTCGATGCCCTGTTGTTGAGAGTATCCTTTTGCAACAAGTCGAGTTTTATGCCTTTTGACACTTTCATCGGCATTGTACTTTGTTTTGAAAATCCAATTTAGCTCTATATCATTCTTCCCTTTCGGCAAATCAACTAGCTCCGAGGTCTGATTTTTATTGATAGCTTGAATCTCTTCAATCATCGCATCCTGCAACTCTGGTTGTTTTGCAGCTTCTTCATAACATGTCGGTTCATCAGCTAACATGGCAAAGATAAAAAATGCATAACATCTTGCAGTGACCAAAACTTTGTTGGTGGCGTCTCTCTTGATGACGTCGAAGGTGGAGAACGAGAGCTTGATTGAGTAGAATTGTTGCTACTTCCATGAGCAGTATGATCAATATTGCTGCTACCAGGTGAGGAAAGATCAGAACTTGTTGTTTCAAGTATCCATGTATTCTCTACTTCTGCATGAACTGGAATATGGATGACTGAATCTTCTTCTTTGTCGTTCCATTCCAAGGCTGCTTCTTCATTAAATAACACATTCCTGCTGATAATCACTTTGCCACTGGTAGGATTATATAGTCTATATGCTTTGGATTGAGGACTTTAACCAATGAAAATGCATTTCTCTGATTTTTCATCTAGCTTAGAACGTAAATTAACCAAAGCATAAGCTATACACCCAAAGACTTTCAAGTGGCTTACTCGTGGTTTCCATTCCATTCATGCTTCATATGGAGTTTGATTCAAAACGTCTTTTGTTGGGGAGATGTTTAAGAGGTACACAGCAGCAGCCAATTCTTCTCCCAAAAAATGAACAGGAAGTCCCCTTGCATTAAGTAAGCTTTTGTCCATCTCAACTACCGTATGGTTCTGCCGCTCGGCAACTCCATTTTGTTGTGGCGAGTACGGTGTTGTAAGCTCCCTGTGAAATCAATTCTCTTCACAAAATAAATTAAAATCATTAAATAAAAATTCACCACCACGGTCTGTGCGAAGAGCCTTTATGTTGCGGGATGTTTGTTTCTCCACGAGTGCCTTGAATTTCCTGAAATTCTCAAAAGCTTCTAATTTGAAATTAAAAAAAGAAGCCAAAATCATACTGCTATAATTATCGGTAAATAGAAAAAAATACAGACTCCCACCAAGTGACTCGATCGTCATTGGTCCACATAAGTCGGCATGTACAAGCTCAAGAAAACGGGAAGCTCTCCATGATTTTCCTTCAGGAAACGATTTTCTACTTTGTTTCTCTAACATGCAACCTTCACATAAATCAAGATCACCAATTTCTGGTAACCCATCTACCATATTCTTCCTAGTCAATAATTTCAGCCCATTAATGTTCAAATGGCCATAGCGAAGATGTCACAGTTGAGTTTAAGGCATTATTTTCCACACTTGAAACATTAAGGGGAAACATGTTATTTTGGGTCATAGGCACAACTACTTTAGTTTGACCATAAATAATATCACTCACAACACTTGAACTATTTTAAAACAAAATAGAGTAACTACTAGCAATCAATTGTCCAACACTCAGTAAATTATGTGCCAAACCAAGAACAAGTTGCACATCACAAAGGAGTTTTACATTACCCTGCATTGTCTTGATGGCTATGGCTCCTTTTCCTTCAACTCGAACTTGTTTGTCATCATCAAGTCGAATGTCACACTTTTGTGACTCATCGAGATCTCTAAATAAAAACCTTATGCTAGTCATATGATTCGAGCATCGACTATCAATAAATCAAACATTATCAGTAATGTTAGTGATTGAAGAATGAGCCATGAAAAAAATACTTTCCTTCTCTACGTTCTCACAGAAATTTGCTTGATTTTGACCGTCCTTTTGCTTAGTCCAACAATGTGTTTCTGTATGATCGAACTTCTTGCAATACTATCATTGAAATTCACTCTAAGGATGACGAGTGTCATTGAATTGACTTCTGCCTCTACCGCAGCCTTGACCTTGGCCACGAAATCCGCCACTTCCTCTATCTCTGCCAAAAAATTTGAGGATTTTTCTTTGGAGAAAGATGACTCCTCTTTCACCTGGAATGCTTTTTCTTTAATTTTCTTATGACACTTGTTTATCTTATCTACATGAGCTATATAATAATCCATTAAAAAATCAAATGAATATTTAGATAAATCCTTGGATTCCTCAATAGCAGCAACCGCATGCTCAATTTTTTTGGTTAAAGATCTCAACATCTTTGCCATAACAATTTCATCACTAATATTCTTCCTATACGACTTCATGAGATTAACAATGGAAGAAACTCTAGAAATATAATCTTGAACAGATTCATTACTTTTCATAAGTAAAGTTTCAAAATCACGATGTAAAGTTTACAATATTACATCAATTACCTTCTTATCTCCCATATACTGCGGTTGCAGAATTTCCCAAGCTCCGTGATAAGTCTTTGCTGCTGAAATTTGGGGAAAGATATCACCATGAAGGGCTTGTTGAATTAGGAACAACGCCTTTGAGTCTTCTTATGATTCTCCCATAGTTGTTGTGCCTGGCCTTCATCCGGATCTGCAAATTCGCTCTCCACCAAGTCCCACACCACTTGAGACTTGAAGAGAATCTTCATCATAAAAATCCAAAAATGATAATTCACCCCTTTGAAAATTGGAAGATGTTGGGTGTTACTGTTATAGTTTGTTGCCATCGTTTCTCTGGTTTGGTATTTCTGGGACTAAAATTTTATTCTCTCTCGTTACCCTTTTGCCAGGGGAGTAAAACTTTAAAACTGGCGCTGATACCAAATTTTTTGGATGAGTAGGCAAAAATAAATGAAAGAGTTTGAGACACAAAAGGTTTCTTTTTATTGCTGAACTTTCTTGCTAAAAAAAATAAAAAATCCTACTGCCTTTTTATAGGCTTACAATTAACTACTAAAGCTAAAATAAAGCAACACGCAAATAATGGAAAATATGAAAAAAGTGGTAAACATGGTCCACTACAATAGGGAGATAATTTCATGAACTAAGTAAAACATAAACCCACTAATCCTAGAAAATAGACCCACAAACTGATTTTCTGCAAACTAAATATTTTAAAGAATTAGTCAATCTGCCCTTTTTTTAGTTCACTAATTGCTAGTAAAGATCTTCTTCTTTTTTCCATAGTTTTTAGGTTTTTGTTCAATTTGATTCTTCTGTGTGAAATTTATCCTTGCTAACAACTAGTACAACTATATCGTGCCACTACTTTTACTCCTATCTTACCACATAACCATACCTTTCTGTATTTTTACCTCTTTTTTACTCCCTTTCCTTCTAAGTTTTTTTTCAACTCAAAATGAATTCAAAACTTTTTGGATCAAGTATGAGAGGTTAGTCAATAAAAAGGACTTTGACTATGTCATGTGGTTAAATAAAGAAATAGGTCAATAAGCTCAAAGGGGTTTAACTAATGATAATGCATGGATAGGCACAATAACATGGTCACATATATATGCTAACAAAAAAAAGTATTGATCACATCCAATAATTTCAACACCAAGTTCAATTTTTTACACACGCATGGAAAGTTATAATATCTAATATGCAAGAATATATACAAATTCTGATTTCACATGACACAATAATAGTTTAGAGCACAATTTCATTAGACTCCAATCGTTATAACACAAACACATTGAATGACATCATGCATTATTAAGTCATACTATTGTTAGAGTCATCTTAGAAGGTATGTGTGTCAATATTGAAGTATCTATCTTTTTATACTCTTTTTATGAATGAATTCGCATGAAGTCTAGCAAATTCCAATCTAGAGGTAACTAGATCCAACTAGCGGTGAGTTCTAAATTCTACTATTAATGAATAATTTATCCCTTAAGACGGTTGTCATATAGTTTTCCTAGGGAAAAATCACTAACTATGACTAATAGTTGCAAGCTAGTCATGTATACTGTTCGGTGCCATATGACGTTTCAAGCTTGACATGAATATTGCTCCGTGTGTTGCTTCTCGTGCCTCGGCCTATCTACATCTCCCTTATTTGGTATCAGGAACAAACCGTCCTCTCCGGAAGGAGGAGCAAGGTTTCCCATAAGGTGTTTTTCTCGTGTTGTTACCGCCAACTTTTATTTATTCAGCAATTTACTTTCATTAGAGTCTTTAGTCATAAAAGTGTGTATAGTCATAAACTTTGTTTATACTCTCTTCCTATATTTTAGTACCTTGTATATTTTATTATAGTCTTAAACGTTCGTAGTTACAAGGTCTGTCCATAGTTTTTTTCGTATATATTAGTTGTAGTGTGTTTCCTTAGATTTTAGAACAAAAATATGTCTGAGTCTTTATTGTCCCAAAACTACAAAAATATGTCTATTTGAGAGTCTTTACCATAGTCTTCCACTTCTTGTAAATCTGCGTCTAGTTCATGTAAGTCCTTAGCGAAGGTAAACATA